TCCGCGGGTCCCGAAATCTATGACTAATTAAAAAAAAATTTTTGTTATGGTTTGCTGTTCGTTTTCGTCTAAAAAAAAAACATAAAAAGAACTTATTTCATTAAACGTTTTAAGGAAGATTTTCTGAATTTCCAAAGAATGCAGGTTTTATCGGGAGTGTCGGGAAAGGATTTTGGTTCCGTCCCGCCCGCAAAACTTTAAAATAACTTCCCTATACCCGGCCCATCCCGGCTAATTTGAAATCAGTACAATGGGTGGTCCCCATATCTATCCCGCACCCATCTCTAATCGCAACAGTTCGCTGGCTGCGCATACACACACGACTTGTATGTATGTGAAAGGTGAGTAGATCCCGGAGACTCCTGTGTGCACCACTGGCCTACATTGTGCACAGTTGACTTGGTCGCCTACTTGCGACACTTCATTCGGTTTCTGCTACGATGCGTAAGTTCAAAGCAAACACAGTGAAACAGAATTCATTAGTTCAAAATTTATTTCCGTGAGTGCAGCAGTGCTAACAGTGCTATGAATAGTATCGGTGAGTTATATGTATATGCATACATATGTACATATACCTATTAACCGGCTTAAAATATTTCCCAAATATTTGTAATAAAGTATGTATAAGTACATAGTACGAATGCTCAATAAAAGTCATCGATTGATATTTAAATTCGATTTTATGTCTACAAACTTCTCAGCCTAAAGGTTAGGCGTGTTGGTGTGTATTGACTACTAAAGAAGTGTTGCATTCCTATAATGTGCTGCTAAATTAATAAAATGTTGCTGCAATTTACTTTTTAGTAAAAATATATATGTAATCGAAAGTTCATGTTCTCGGTGTGCGGAAAAAATACCTGGAAGCAGTATTTACAGTAGGGGGTACATTTTTAATATACATACTCATAATTTTTGTTTTGCTACTCTTCAGTTTGGTTCAAAAACAAGAAAAAAAAATTAAGATAAGGGAGGAAACCATGGTGAAATAAGAAAAAGGTGACATCAGTAGCTGTAGTTGTACTATTTGCCGGCACTCATATTCTGGTCATGTACTTGAAAGTTAGTAGAAAGGGAAACTTTTGGTACGTGTTTACTAATTTTTTAATATTTAACAAGGCTGTGTGAGAGTACGTATAGAGTGCTACCTAAATAGAGAAAAATCCTAAATCACTGGAAAGTGTCGGTTATGCAGTGAATAGGAACAATTTAGATTTTTTTTCGAACAATTAATTTTTTTTTTTTGAAGTTTTAGTTAATTCTTATCATTGCTAGGACTTGGCTGAGTTAATCAAGTTTTTCTTAAACCAATTGTGACGAGCTCCGGGTTATGCTGGGGTTTGCTCATCGGTTGCCGGGTTCTCAACAAAAATTATTAGCAAAGCACTCGTCTGTCTTAGTCGTACGTTAAGAGGACGGGAGTAGAACCTACCCATTCCTCTCCGGTTGATAGGTGTAGCTCCGTACCACCAAATACAATTACCGCTATAGTTAAGGTGCGGGAGTAGAACCTACCCATAACCTTCTAAGAGATCCTACCCGTCTCCTGATACCTAGCATTAGCCCAATCACTTTAGACCAAAATCGACGTAAGATTAAAAAAAATTCCGGGACGTCATAATATACTTTTGTTTACATTCACTGTCGCCAACTTGATGCTTTTCGCACCAAATTTAGTGGGTATTCAAAACGTGAACAATTTTTGAATTTTGTGCTTGGTGCGTTTTTGGTGCTTTTGTTATTAGTTTGAAGACTTCAAATTAGAAAATCTTAAAAAAATGGAAGCAAAATTTATAGCAATCGTAAGTGTGCTAAGCAATTTTACAAACATTTAAACAAAATCATGGCACAGTGACAATCATAAGCGACAACGAAATATGTGCAGCACCTTCAATTATGCCAGAAGAAATCGATCATTGTGCAAGAAACATTGATTTTTATTAATTTGAATCGGCATCCTTGCAATAAAATTATGTATTCATATAAAGTCCATAAAATACACCAATAAAAATTTGGTGCCTTTTCAAATTCAAAACTTGGCAATACTGCCTTTTGTTCGATGCTTCTTCTTTTTCTTGTCGAGTTTGTCTTGCTCTCTCATTCTGGTATATTTTGACGTCACGACCAGTTGCTCTCAGCTCGATTGGCGCAATCTTGTATTCTATCATTCTTGCCTCAGAGGTAAAGTTATTCGCGCGTTTTATTTTTATGTGGGTTCACCAGTTGTCCTAATCCACACATAGTTATTTTCGCCACAATAAAACTCTTTATAATCAGAGAAAAGTCGAATTGATAACAGGACAAGAATTATTTGCTAATTACAGTTTCAACTGACTGAAAATTGTTATTCATGGGCTCGGCCTATTGGTGAACCCACAGTTGAAAATACGAGCCAAAAAACACGACCTCCGAGATACTGTGAAAAGTTTTGAGTAGCTTTTCCATTGCCGCTGCATTGAGCGCGTTGCTGGTCCAGATCTACACGTCGTACGCGAACATATAAATAATGCGTTTATTGGAAATTTTGTCCTCTACAGCTTTGCCATTTAAATGATCAAAATTCGAAGAAATCGCGCCACTTACCTAATTTTGGGCATTTTTTGCATATTATTAGCAATAAATAATTGTTTAAAAAAATGACAGGCACATGAAAATTGTATTCCCTATAGGGAATCGAATTCTCTACAAATTTGTTCACTCCCTTTTTCGCGAGAAGTGCAAAATTCGCGCGCAAATCGTAAAAAACACAAAATCCAAGATGGCGGACATTTCCCATATCGCAATTGGGGGAAAAATTTTAATTTTGTTTTCACCTAAACAGGAGACACCTAACTGCGTCAAAAAATTTCTTCCCGGAATTTTTTCGTTGAAAAAATCTAAAATGATTGGGCTACATAGGGAGTAGAGCGTACCCTATGCGTACAAAAGTTCCTGACTCTGCAGTAGTCGCCTGACGACTCCTGTGTGCTTTGATTGCTGGCCGGCTATTTATACAATTTGGATATTTCGCTTGGTTTGTCAAGCCGCTTGTGCGGTCTGTTTCGCTTATGCGTGGTTCTCCAGTACATTTTGTCAACGACAAATTGTATATTTTAGAATTTCTTGCCATTTGCATGGACAGCCCCTGTTGAAGTCGCGCACTTCCTGGACCTTACCTTAGCTGAACCAGACGACAACGCAGATGGATAAGCCGACTCGAGCGGGGTTTAGTAGCCACTAAAACTACAACAACAGGCACCTTCACCATTAAGGGTCCGGATATTGCAGGTGCATACCTTCAAATCATAGTCCTTAATACAATTGCTGCGGTCGTCATCAGAAAAAGGGGGTCTCATCCGAGGCTGTTTTTTGTTTTTCATTGGGAGGGGTTTTAACGTGGCGGCACCCAAACCCAGCGCTTGCGAAGTTTTACGCCTTCTCACTTTAGCTCGACCCCTAACGGGTGTTTGGTTGCTACCCAAAGGATACGTGGATATAAATATCCGGACGTTGTGAGCTGCGATTTGAACCGTACGCACAAGAATCACTTCTGGCCACTCCCAGGTGAATGGTAGTCAAAAGCTTTCCACTTCTGCGCACGGAACCATCCTCCCAACGGCGCACAGAGTTGAATTTTCTCAACTTGCATACGTTTGCTTGTGTGGGCAACCAACTTCAAGTTGTTTATACTAGACGCTTGAGTATACATTAGGGCGGTAAAAAAAAAGAAAAATTCGGAATTTTAATGCTCTCACCCTCTAGAATTGCTCTATACCGTGAACAATTATAATCTTTTTTTTTAAATTTGTTTTCCATGTATTTTATCTACAAAAAAAAATTTCGCAGAAATGGTACGGATTCTTGAAAATCAATATTTTTCGATCGCAAAACTTTGCTTCTCTTCAGCAGACATTCAATTATAATATCCTAAACAATTTAACCATTTTTTAATATTAATTAAAAAAAATGTAATGGGGTTGGACCCACAAAAATTGATGGTGTTATGAAATTGTAAAATAAACAATTGGGTATTATACATTATTGGAAGCCCCCTGATTTCTTCAGAGTTTCTGATCGAAAAATATTGATTTTCAAGGATTCTATACCAATTTGGCGCTTTGAGCGACCTCTAAATATTTTTTCAATTCCAAATAAAGAGGTATACGTTTTCTCACTATAGAACACCCCCTAGAGGGCATTAAAATCCCGACTGTACTTCTTCACATACCAAATTTTTCTCTTTTTTATAAAAATATAGTTCGTCGCAAAAACTACAAGAATACAAGAATGCATTTTTTTTTTTAATTTCATACAGAACTCAGATGAAAATGCAAGATATTTTCTTCGAAATTCTGACCCTCGGTAAAAAAAAAAATTCTCAAAAATCAACGGAAATTTTTAGCGACTTCAGACTTCCACTTTATTATATTAAAAAATGTTTCTCCAAATATTTCTAAGAAATCAAATTGAAAAGTGGAAAATTCGTCAATACGTCAGAGTATCAGAGTATACTTATTTTTGACTTCCGCTGTATATGTACATACATATACCTCTCATGGACAAAATAATAGGTGCAAAACTCAAAATGTTATTGTTTATTTATTTATTTCAAAAAAGTTAAGATTTAAAATATAGTTCGATCCATAACAGAAACCACATAAATAAAAGGTCTTGAGAATTTTCTTCCATATAACGTAGAAACCAAATTTATTTTTGTTACATATAAAATTTCAAACTACAAAAATAAAAAATAAAAAAAGTTTCATAAAAATTGCGAGTATTTTAATTATAATTTCTAGATACATTTTTGGGATGGAGCATATTAAAAAGTACAAGTGTGAAGTTTCAGTTGCCGTTGATTTTTGATTTTTGTTTTTTGCTGCAATAGTTTTATTTTACCTTGTATGTACTTGTGTGTATACAACTTTGTGACCAAGTTGTCTTTCTAAATCCTCCTTTAAAATACGTACATACATACATATATGCTCAGTTATAAATTCATATTTTCCTTTCAATATTTTCAGAGTATGTCACTCCGAGCCAGCTCGAGAACCACTGCTGGCGATACTATTACACCTGCGGAAAAAGATGATCTTCCAAAAAATTTGCAACCCTCACAAGAAGATGTCGAAAAGACAGACAGCAGCCTTTTACTGCTGCGCTCTCCTTCAACGCTATTGCCTCAAATAAAAAAGGAGCCCACACTTGAAATTACTGATATACCAGCCACTACCTTCAACGAAATTCGTACACTGACCAATGCAACAAACATGCGTAAAAGATTAGGCAGTGTGAGCGCAGATGAACATTGCGCCATTAAAAAATTAAAATCTACACAACAGGTGACCAGCGAAGAGCATATTCAATTGGAGGAAAGGGTATTAAACAACGACACGCTTGATATGAATAGCACCGATGGCAGCTACTATGACTTGTCACATTTGGTTAATGGAGAATTCGATTCGGATATTGGACACAATGAAGATGAAGATGGAGATGATGAAGCCTACCATGCTTTAAATGTAGAAACGGGAAAGGCACAAGGTATGCAGTTGTAGAAGTGCTAGGTAATCAATAAAACCTAGGAATTAATAGATAGTTTTTTTTTCACTAAAAATAATTGTGCGTACCTCTTTCTATTTATACCAGATGAGAACGAATTTTTACAACTTTTGACTAAATATAAACTACGACATCATTTTTTTAAATTGGAAGAGCTGAATATTGGTTTGGATTGCTTAAAATCTATAAGTGATATGGATATAAAGGATATATTTGGATTTGATATCGGTGCACGTATACGCTTTCGTGGCTTAGTGGAAGAATGGCGCGCTGCTAATGTAAGTACATAAAACTATTTTCTTTTATTTCTGGCATAATTTTGTCAGTCTTATAGCTTCAGGAGCTAAAAACTCTTCGAAAGGGCCTTCCACTCTGCACTCCTTTCTCCTTTCTTTTTTGTATGGAGTGGCACAAATCGAAGGGCTTTTGTGGGACGTACTTCAGAAGGCTTTTCCGAAAAGTTCTTCTAAAGCTTAATTGTTAATTCTGCCGGCTCGAGGTCAAATGGTTTGAGGAAATTTTTGAATTAAAACACAGGATTTAAATTTTTTTCCGATATATTTCGGTTACGCTCAGGGCAACTATTGACAAACATGTAAACATAAAAATATACATACATACATAAATACAAATTTCAAAACAATAATTAAACACAAAATGACATACATTAAGCAGCTCTTCTTTAATTAATAAAAAAATGTGCATATCAAATATATTTTATTGCAACTTGAAACGCATTTTGAAGCTCATTTGTAATCTTTATACACACATACATATATAAAATCAGTGGATTTCGGACTACATTATATATTTAAATTAAAATTTGACAAGTTTTAACTGCTGTACAGGGTAGCAGTTCAATTTTTGATATGCCAGCTGTAGACACTGGATAAATTTTATAAAGGAAATATATGATCCGCTTAAATAAATTAACCTGCCCACACTTACGTATTTTCAGGGATGGAAGGGACTAGAATTTTGCCACAGCAATTTCAGACTAAAAAATTGGGGTATGACTTCGGTCTGATACGCACACATAGAAAACACTTGTATATTTTTATACTACCAGAACCAATGTGTGCATAGCTCGAAAGCTTGGTATTTTCGCATGTTCAATTTTTCAGATGGTTCTTGTTTGTGAATTATTGCGAATTTTGCAGCATTTGTGACTGCTGAAATTCTGAAAGCAATATTTTCCAGCACAGTATCGTATCGCTTATAAACCTGACCAATTGTTTTCAAATGGCAAGCATATTAATCTGCTTTGGAAAGGGCATATTTGAAACTAAAACTCATTTCGATACCTCTTCCGGTACCGAAATTATAGCCTAAAGTATGGTCACAAGAAATGAATACGATACACTACACTACCTGTTAAATTAAAAAAATGTGACAATATCGGTGTCAAATAAAAGATAATCGGAAGTATTTTAACACAGACATATTTTGGGGTTTGTCATCACCTCAAATTTTAAAGTTATTTCACAATATCCATTTCCATAATTTTTTCAAGAGAATACCTTCTCTAGAGAAAGTTTTTTTAAACATAAATGAACTTGCAAGTATTAAGCAAATTTTTACGTTTTTTTCAATGCTCACATAAAAAATCATACTCTATGTTAAAATTATAGTTTAGTATAAAAATAAGTGTTCACAACCTTCTTTTATTTTAACGGATCCAAGGTTTTAAAAACAGCCACCTAAGAAACATTATCGTAATTTACGGTTCATTTGTAAGTTATAAGCAAATCATGCTGAAATCAAGTAATTTCGCCTTGTAAAATCTGCCAATAAATTAAAGAGAAATGAGATAATTTATAATAAATCAAGTACTAAATGAAGGAAAAAAGATTTGGCATTTATTTTCACCCCCACTGCTGACACTTCTGAGGAAATTAAAAAAAAAGCCTAAAGGCTAGCAATAATTGGCTGTTGGAACGGCTGTAAAAAGATATAGCCGTGAAATATAATCTTTTGAAGAAGCTCGATTCTTCAAACATAAGGCTTTAAAACTTGTTTTCGAAAGCTGTCCCGCTAAATTTTGTTGCCCAGTGTAGTAATGTCATAAAAAGCGTTCAGCTTTCGACAAAATTATTTTGCAAAATGGAAAATTTTTACCAAAAATACATTAGCGTAAGTAAGAGTATGTATTCTAAACCAGATGTCTTATTTTTGCGGGCACCAAGCATTCATATTCGTTTGCACAATAAAATTGTTTCTCATGGTGATGGAAAACAAAGGTTTCCGAATTTGATTAACAGGAAATTTTGCAAAACCAAGCTGAAAAAAACTAATGGTACATATATCCGAAATCAGAAACGAGAAATACAAATAGTGTGCTTGCTTTTTTTTTGCTATCGACCAGTGTAATCCAACAACCGATAATCTCAAATATTTATAAAAAGGTGTTTTGTCATTAGTGATAACAAAAAATATAAATCAGAAGGATGAAATGGTATTGTGTTAAAAGATCCAAAGTAAAAACTAGTAGTTCAGAGCAAAGGGGCGGGACGGGAGGTGATCAATTTCCCCTTTGGCTACGCCACACAATGGGACTACAGCGGCCAAAAGTATTAAAAACGGATTAGCGAATTCTGAAAAAGTATTTATGCAGATTCATAGCAAAATGTCCAACTAAGCCAAACTAAAAAGAATTTCGGGTAAAAATGCATATTTGCAGTCATGAGACGAGCTTTAAGTAGGTACAATACGAAACAATTTTGAATTAAATTTTCCACTTGTGTGGATATATAAAAAGCAGTTTTTTAACATATCTATGGTCAAGCATTGCTATACATTTTTATAAATCCCTTGAAATGTCATTGGAATTCCACATAACTTTGTGAGTATAAAATTTTTCGAGTGCTTACATTAAAAAAGGGGTTTTAAAAAGGACTCAAGAAGCGAGCTAAATTATACTTAGGACAAGTAAACATTAAATAGACGTATCATACCTCAAATAGTTCCAGTTGCAAGGAAATGCGAGTTCAGCTTCTATTCTTCTTTTTATACACACACCTCCTGTGAAATTTATTGAATTTTTATTGTAGAGCTAAAGGGAAAGACTGATACATATGTACATAAAATAAATAGTATGCAATATAAAATGGAAATTAAAGAAGGTGTAGATATGAATAACTAGCCAATCTATTAATCTTGTTCAACATTCAGGCGCAATTGGACGCTTCTCCGGACGAGATGCGTTTTCGATAGGAAGAGAGGTGCTTGCCTTTGCTCAACTTTTGTTGTAAAAAATGTAGGTAAAATTCAAAGTTACAGTGCAAATACATGTCAAGCACATAATTTAGTATGCAGGTATTGTAAATTTTTTCGATTTGTTATTTTTTAAACGAAGAAATAGGAACTTCTTTAGAATTATGATAAATAATGTGTCTGTTCGTTTTCTCCAAAATGCATAAAATTTAGTACTTGGAGCCAAAAAAGTTGTGTAGGAGGTGGGCATAATAATAAGAAACTCTTCGTTATCTTCCAAGTTGAAAAATTTTGGCTTAAACGAGTAGGCACACCGAATTTCATAAAAAAATACGTTTTTTTTTTTATATGCGCCTATTTTTCTAGAATTAGTGGACTATAATGTAAAACGACTTTGACGTTCTTTCAGGTTTATGCTTTTCTCGTTACAACCAGCATAAGCTCTGAATTTCATAAAAAAATAACATTTAGAATTTCCGCCCCCAAGAACTGTGGGCGTGGTGTTAGCGTTTTGAATTTTACCATTTTCCACGTTTCTTCATTCCAAAGTACCGAATAGCGCATATACGAAATTTCAGCGCATTTCTAGTACGATTACTACTTTAGGCCGCAGCTTATATGTGGACGTACCATTGTGCGCCATCGTATAAAATAAGCTTGCTTAAAGTTTTAGATCGATAGACTCTTAAGTTAAAAAATAGAAATGTCAAAATCTAGATAGGTTTTTTGTATGAGATTTGCGTTAAAGTTTTTTTGTTTCAAAAATATCTCAGACTTAGTCAGTATATTAAATGCAAAATATTGGAACACCCCAAACGGGGCCAGAAGCGCTCCATTAGTTCTATTGGAGCGCTCCATATATTCAGCAGTAAGCGCTCCCTTCCTAATTTCATACTTCATTGTTTTTTAACATTGTGTGGCATTAGTAAGAAGCGCTCCCTTGCTGCCCCAAATAAGCCCTTGGTGAGCGCTTCAACTAAAGCATTTAAAAAGCGATGCATGCAAATTTTAATTTTTATATTATATTTTGGTTTTAATAAAAGAATGGCGTTTTTGTAAACCATTTGATGGTTTTATTAAGTGTACTTATAAACATGTTTTTTTTTCTTTTCTATAAAATCGCTTCTTGTCATATTCACATTCAAATTTATGTGTTAAAGTTTTTCCCTTCATCATATTTTGTTTTTCGTAAATATTTATTATTTTAGTATTTAGTATTTAGTATTTAGTATTTATTTATTAAGCCAATCAGAATAGAAAATCTTACAGGCTAAGTAGAAATATGTGATAACAGTAGGCAAATTACTAGTATACATAAATGGCTCACTTATAAAGAGGGTTTATTGTATTTAAAAAGCACTCTTTTGAACAAGAAAAATCTATTTCCAAATAATTAGTAATTCTATTAAACTCAATCAAGGATCTAGTAATAGGAGCATTGATTGCATAAAGAGCTTTGAACAGACGAACGTTGAAGAACTCAGAGTTCCTAAGGGCTCTGGCAGGAATATTTATGAAAATCCTCTCCAGGAGCATGGGGCAGTCAGTAGCACCACGAAAAACGTCAAAAATAAACGACAGCGACAAAATTATTCTCCTGTTCTGCAGTGACTTTAAGTTGATCAATAGGCATCTAGACTCATAAGTCGGAATGGGTTCAGAAAAGCGTAAGCTGCGCAAAGCAAAATATAAAAATACTTTCTGAATCCGTTCGATTCTTGCAATATGGCACTGATAATAAGGCGACCAAATAAAACAAGCGTACTCAAGTTTAGAGCGCACAAACGCGGTGTATAAAAGCTTTAGCGTATAAGGGTCAGTGAACTCTGAGCTATGACGTCTAACAAAAGCAAGCATGGCATACGATTTCGAAATGCAAAGGTTAATATGTTTTGCGAAAGTAAATTTGGAGTCAAAAGTTACCCCCAGATCTTTTATTTCACTAACCCTTGTAAGGGGCGAGTTAGATAAATGGTATGAGGTTTCAATGACGTTAACGCGTTTTGAAAAAGTAATCTGAAAACATTTTTTTAAATTAAGAGTTAACCGATTGCTATTACACCAT